ACACTCCGCAAAGCTGGAACCATCACTGATAAAGCTGCAGCCAACCTAAGTCTCACATATAAAGATAAAAAACGCAAACACATTCCAAAGCAGGAAATGTCCAAGCACACACACAGCCACTCGTTGGAAAAAAATAGCAACTACAATGTCAGAAAATGTTATTTTGTTGCATTCTTTTTTGCACAAACACGTGCACATAAATACACCCTTCACAAGTTAGCATCTTTTCCGCTACATCATAATTTCAGTCCTTTCCCTCCCCTACACAGTAGCAAATTCAAGGGAAAGAGAAATATTTCTGCTAAATTAGTTATGCTAATTACAGAGCAGATCTCAGGGGGGAGAACGAGCTAAATGGCTTTTAATTCCTTTCGCCTGGAAAGAGATGTTGGAGAGTGCTGAACTGAGAGCAGAAAGAAAGGAGCACACGCCACAAAACATAAAAGAAATTAAATAAATAAATTTTAACCAATAAACACATAAACAACTGGCATTAAAATTTGTCTGGTGGCACAGCAACAGTGAACTAACTGAATTAACAGCTCTGGGGAGAAGGTCCAGAGCAGGCAGTCGGCCAGACAACAAGTCGTCTTATCGGCTCTGGAAGCCCCGGGGCCCTTAACCAATAGGGAGGGGACCGCAGAAAAAGTTTTATAGCCAACTTTCTGTTGGTCTTTGCCAGCGGTCACACAATGACAATGAGGCATCAGCCGATACAGCGCAACACACTTTAAAAGTGATACATCTATTTTTGTATCCTCAATGAAGTATGCACGCTCCTGGCAATCTGAATCTGTTAGCATGATATGATACAAGCTATAGTAACTACAGGAAACTTAGGTCAAACTTTGCTCAGGCTCTTGAGAGTTGTTGTCCATCACCACAAACAAACTAGCTTCTCGAGTTCAGAAACTATGCATTTTTTCCCCATAAAACGTATTACTGAACTGAGTGCTGCCACTCTCTGTCATTGCAATATTTCTGTATGTCCAAGCACAGCCACACTAAAAAAAGCCGTAGTTACGTACAGGTCTTGATCACAATGCTGGGTATATTTAAAAACACACCTGTGGCTCTGTTTGCACCTCTTACAAAGAACCGCTCACTTTATCATATGTTGAGATAGACAGCTATAATTGTTTTGTCAAGCATTATAAATAAAATATCCATGATTTCATGTGACATCTTGCAAAATGTGATGGCAGTCAAAACGCAAAACAAATTAAATAAATATTTTTTAACCAACAAAGACCATTAGACCATTGGATCTCCCTATCTAAACTTTGTCTGAAAAAATGGGTTATTGACAGCACCAAAACAAACAAACAAACAAACTAACTAACTAACTAACTAACTAACTAACTAACTAACTAACTAACTAACTAACTAACTAACTAACTAACTAACAAATAAATAAAATCAAAGACTAAAAAACTGTGCGACTGATTTTTTTTCTTTCAAAGACCATCCAATGGTTTAGCATTTGAATGTTTTTACCACTTGGACTGTGTTATAGTTATTTTGGGAGGAAAACAAGCAAAAAAATAGTAATAATGATAATAATAATTCTACACACACACACACACACACACACACACACACACACACACAAGTTTGGACACACCTCATTCAAAGCGTTTTCTTTATTTTCATGCCTATGACAGTTGTAGATTCACAGTGAAGGCATCAAAACTATGGATTAACACGTGGAATTATATACTTAACAAAGTGTGAAACAACAATACAGTATGTCTTACATTCTAGGTTCTTCAAAGCAGCCACTTTTTGATTTGATTACTGCTTCACACACTCTTGGCAATCTCTTGATGAGCTTCAAGAGGTAGTCACCTGAAATGGTTCTCACTACACAGGTGTGCCCTGTCAGGTTTCAAACAATTCACACAGATCCCAGAAAAAAATATGTTTTTGATTTATTTGTTGATTGTATGTGATCGTACCCAGCTCTCACCCAGTGATAAACAGGATAGGAACTCCCTTCAACTCTGAACACAGAACAGGTATAAAAAAAGTTTGCACTGTATCAAGAAGGCTAAAGGAAAAGACTAAGGGTGTCTATTACAGAATATTCATCACTGTTTGGAATTGTTTGAAGCAACAAGGTCACTGTGATGTCTTTATTGTATATAGGAAAAAAATGAGTAACTCTGTCTGTGGCAACAGAATGTCATCTAAACAAAATAGGACACGATCAGACACTCAGCGAGAACAGAAATTTTGTACACAGAGAGGTATATTGTAGTAGAACTGCAGTGCATTAACTCCTTTACTGCAAAGATGAATGCATTTTTGAAAACCATAAACACTGCACTGCAAAGATGTAAGGAAGAAATGTAATTAGATGAAAGATCCATCACCTTATCTCAACAAATAGGCAGAGAATATATGGCATCCATCATGAGAATGGTACAGGCCTGTCTGTGTGACCACTAAAATTCAGGGGTCTTATGCTGAGGAAGTCATTGTAGTGGGATTAATAGTTTTTTGTAAACTTGTGCACTCTTAGAGAAGACTCAATAAAAATCAAACCATTGTGTTATAACCCACCTAAAAGCCTCAACAAATGGCAGCACAGGGATACACAACATAATGTGTTTTGCTGGTTCATAATAAGGCAATGTTTTATAAATTTATTTCAATGGGTAGCTCACAATGATGCTAATATATAAGACTATAAAACTCTTCTGTTACAGAAATGCTGTCATGCTTTTTTAAAAAGGTAGTCTCGTTCAAAAATTACACTACTTTAGGTATTTTCAAAACATGCAATTTTAGATTTTGTCTGACGTATTTTTTTGTTTTGTTTTAGAGCATTTATCTGCTTATATTGTATGCGTCAAAAATACTGAGACACTTGTGAAGGGCAAATGTGGAAACTTGGAATAAAAACATTATTTTATTTGATAAGAACAATTAGGTTGAAGGTCTTAAGGCCCTATCATGCTACGACATTTTAGGCAACTTCTGGAAATTTTGTCCAACACACTTGTGTAAGTTGCATAAGTTAGGTGTAATTTTTGAATATGTTTTCAGCACTATGATCAGCCAACAATTTTGTACATGCTCAAACTTTTCACCTTATGTCAACAAGCTGCTGATAAGTGAAGCAGAAGTTACAGGTAATTTATCTCCCACTCTGAGCCCTTGAGCAAGGCCCTTAACCCCTCAGCTGCTCCCTTGGCAGCCCACTGCTCCACATGTGCTAACATGTGCAATGGGTAAAATGCAGAGAATTAACTTCCCAGCTGAGGGACAATAAAGGTTAATAATAAGAACACATATGGTACATGGAAGTCATTATTTTGTTACTCATAAGTGGACATATATCTGAAACAAGTGAGGAAATTCTGAAGAAAACAACTATTTTTTAACCCCTGACTTCATTCACTTATGCAAAGCTTCTGTGCAAAGTTAATTTAACTTATTCATACCAATTATTTTGCATTTTAATAATATAGGCAAACTATGCAAACAAAATAAACAAAATCAATTCCAATAAAAGCAATTTGTTTTATATTTTATCAATAAATGCATTGATCTACAGTAATATCACAGTACGGTTCCAAATATAAACAAGTTTAGCACATATCACCAAAACTTTAAGAATCTTGTAATCCTGAGTTTTATTTAAATTTGCAGCTATTTATGATAAACTACAACTACTTCAACCTGACACTTTCTGAAGTTTATTTTATTAGACTAATGACTGAGATAATTGTTCATTCTCAGTCAGTGCTGCCTCTTGGACTTATCACCTGTTGCACCAGGTGTGCATCATAAGAAGCCATTTGCTGAATTGTCAGCCGAATTCATTTATTCAGAACTACCATGGCCATACTTCAGAAATCCTATAAATGATTTGACAATCCAATACAGCCAAATAAAATGTTTCAAAAAGCCAGTACTACTACCTATTGTGTTTACGATTTGTGTTTTAAAAAATATGACCGGTTATAGTTCAGAGACACGATAGACGATAAGAAAGTTACTCGGCTCTGCAAAATATTTTATCAAATTTTTTTTTTTTTGAAAAAAAAGTGAATTGTGTATTTTTGCTCACGGTTTTCACACTGGCAAAATGTTGAAACTGAGAACTGGCCCATGCTTATTTACTACACAGCTATCAGCTGAAACCACTCACATTACCCAACTAAACCTTCAGAGAACAAGTGAACAAATCCTTTTATGCAGAAAAATCTATATTACAAGAAGCCCTCACTGAACTGAGAATTGCTTTCTATGGTGTCCAAACACTGTATGTTTACAATGCTTGCTGCTGTGTTATCGTTTAGTCCCACTCGACTGATGTGTGTTTGATTTAGAAAGGAGCGAGCGCTCTTTCATGTCTTGTGACTCATTTCCAACCATCACTGCAGTCAACATTTAAAGCAACACTGGATGTAATCAGTCACAGCAATAAACCAACGTGTGATGTTTTAACAGTTTCCTCCATAACAAATAAAACAGAAAAAAAAACTTTATTGAATTTTGAAGATTTTGTATGCAACACCCTCAGGTAGCACAAAAATGTGACGAGTCCTAAGAAAGTGCAGAGTGACTCAGATTTTAAACTCTGTGTCACAATGTCATTCAGCCACGTAAACAGCCAATGTTTTTACACAAAGTTGTGTGAGAGTAGTTTAAAAGGAATTTAATAAATCAGAATAACTACAAGTATCCTGGGACTGCAAACACACACCGAACGCATAGCAATACTGTAAATTTTAATCTCTAAGCATAGGCATGCATCGTTACTCTGACATCCAGTTTAGTCTGCACACCCACACAATAACAAACACAGTCACCATTTTATTGTCAGTCCCTGTCCAATATAGGCCTATAAGCATTGGCCAGTTTTATGTCTTTTAATTACTATACTGTCTCATAGCAGCATCCACCTTGGCAAAAAATAACATTCCCCACAAATTTATAGACAACAGCAGAAAAGACAAAGGGAGGGTGTGTGAATCTGCTAAGTATACCTGAAATTAGGTGCAGAGGCCCATTCCAGGGCAAGGCAAGCCAAGTCCACCGCAGCATACACCAGCAGGAAGAAAATGGTCACAATACTGGCAATGGTGTTAAGCTTTCCTGAAAACAGCACCAACTAGAGAGACAAAGAAAGACCAAAACAACAAAATCCAACAATTAACAGTGACAGACTCATTAATTTTGAAATCAGACAAAACAAATAAGTGGTATGAAAAATGATACAACAATCATTTTCTTGTTCAACATAAACACAGAAAAAAGGCAAAATGATAGAGAGAACTTTTGTGACTGATTAACTGATTTTTAGATCCAGTCATATTTTACATTTTGTGATTGATTGCAGTCATGTGCTTTAAACAGGGAGAGATTCAGCAAGTCTCCATCAATGTGTCCCATGACAGCCCCCAGAGTGTGACATTAATGTTTAGATATACAGAAGGCTTGAGAAGTGGGGGAGACTTTACCGGCAACAGACGCAGGCCTGTGAGAGGGCATTGTTATTGTTAATATTCTGATAAGAACCCAAGGCCTCACACAGACATGTGCTGGGAGACAGGCTGTTGAGGAGTTTCAAGATCTGAGGAATAAAGCTTTTTAAAGAGAAACAACTTGGTTTTCTGCAAAATTATTCTGGCTTCCAGAGGTAGGGTGCTGAGTAACTGAAAAGCACATCATTAGGCCAGCCTTTGTTTTTGATGATGATGATGATGAAAGCCTTTATTGTAATCATTTGCACAGTAAAATTACATTTAAGAATACCCATTCAAGAAGACAGACACATGACAAAAACATTGGGTAATGGGTGCTCAGGTCATGCAGCAACCAGCTGGGGTCACGCTACCTTTAAAAAGCTTGGAATACACATAATGGGAAAAAATAGTTTAAAAAATGCTTTGATCCTATGTTTACACAGAAACACAGGATCATACACTAAAAAAAAACACTTGCATATAGTGCAAGGCAGCTAAGGAAGGGAGGGGGCTGGGGATGAACCACATGGTACGGGGTAGGATGCAAAAGAGCCGGTGATGTTTCAGGGTAATACTCTGCGCTGGAACCAATCAAAGACCTTCAGAGTCCAAAATACAAGTTGTTATCAACCAAGCACAAATCACCAGAGTTCAGTTTCTCTGTCTCCACCCATCGTGACCTCCAGACTGATCCACCCCACGGGTGAAACGGGTAGGGGATGGGGAGACAAGCCTCTATCTCACGTGTCATCTGGGGGAGTTTTGATAACTGCTGAAAAAAGTCAGCAGCTGCAGGGATTCAAAGATAAACATAATTGTTTGGGACAAACAGCCTTGATTTTCTCTCTGCTTTAAGTCGTAACTGCATCTCTGTGATGGCGAAAATGCCATTGTTCCGAATTTCATTACCTCCTCGCCGCTCTCCATCTGAAACTTCAACCAGGTATAATCTCTCACCTGGGCACGCTGCTGAACTGCAATTCTCGTCAGAATCATGTCCAGTTTGTGACTTATATCCCCCAACATTTGAATTTGTGCATTTCCAGTACAGCAGACATCATCCAAGGTCCCTGACAGCTTTTCACAGGCCCGAACGGCTGTCAGGATTGCTTTCATTTTCCGATAAACCAGGACACCTCCACAGCCGATCAGCAGGAATCCAGTTATCATAAATCCAAATATATACAGATCTTCTTTTGTTTGATTTTGGTTTTATTTTTTTATTTTTTTGTTACTGTACTTTGTTTATTGTTTGTATTTTATGTTCCTATATAGCACTTTGGTTTTATTGTGCTTTATAAATAAACTATGCTGATGATGATGATGACTAAAAGTTCTTGAGTCTATAGTGGTCAGATGAGCAGGTGGCTCTTGTTGGGTGAGTTGGATTGAGAAGGAAGACCTGAAAGTGTAGGAAGGTCTGTCTATGTGAAGAATTTCTGTGAGATACTAAGGGGCAAAGTTATTGAGGGCTTTGCAGGTGAGGAGCAAGATTTTATAGGAAACACAAAATTCGATTGGGACCCAGTGAAGATACTGTAGGACATGTGTTATATGTGGAAGGGGTGCTGGAAATGAAACGAGCAGCTGAGCTTAGGACCAGTTGGAGTTTATGGATAGATTTATCTGGTAAAGCAAAAAAAGGGAGTTGCAATAATCTAGATATATGACTAAAAGGTGAATCAGAACAGGTGTACTGTTGGGTACTGCTATAATCTTAGTAGAGGAAGCTGATAATAAATAAACAAATAAATAAATAAATACTATATATATAAATAAATATTATATATATATAAATACTATATATATATATATATATATAAATAAATACTATATATATATAATATTTACCGGGGAATATTTTAAAAACCACAGGTTCCAATGAGAGCCACTGATTGAGGCTGAAGTTCAGTTTCAGTTAAAATAAAATGTTAGCTGCTGTTGAATTGTGGGACCATGTTAGCTTTGGCAGCTACTTGACAGCACAGGCAAGTTGATGTACTTGTTTTTTTTTTAATTCTCTGGACCCAAATTGGAGAGAGAACTACCTATACATCTGAAGATAATGACAAGAGATGCATGAGACTCCCTCTCTTTGACAGAGGGCCAGTGGCTAAACTCTAATAGAAGAAAGAAATAATGACTGTATGACAAGTGCTGGTCTCTTCCACGTTCTCTGACACCAGAATGTGTGAACATGACTATGTATAATCTAGTAGGAATTACCACAGATGTAACAGGCAGAAAAAGAAAGCAGTAAAAGTTTTAACAACATAAACTAAACATTTTTTGATATCACACTCACCAATTAATTACACATATCAAGTTATGAGTGGAACGGATTTATTTAAATAAATTACTGCAGATGTTTTACATGCTACTTGATAAAACTGTTGCTTTGTGAACAGGTTTTTTTGCTTAAGGCTAACTTGCAAACTGAGTCCTTGGACAGGCTTTTTAAACAGACAAAGATTATAATCTCCAAAACCGTCACTGCAAAAGGAAAATAAAAATCCAAATACAACTAGACATGGATTTTTACAATGTAAAAACAAGTGTGCATTGCCTTGTAGCATGCCATTTCAGCATGCATTTGCCTGCAGCAGTGGACTTGCAGAATGAACTGTGACCAAGTTCAAAAGTGTTTTCTATGCTGCAGTACCAATTTGAGCAGATACAGCAGGAGGCAGTATTGGACCAATACAATGCTCCATTGACAGCCATTTTATGAACTGTGACCAAGTCCAAATGTGTTTTCTAATTAATATCAGCTTTTGCCTGCCAAGTCAGCAGGTGCTTGTAATTAGGGTAATTGTGTGACAATATGACAATCTGAAAATATGTAGTTTTAATGAAGTTTTTTATTCATAACAGGAATTGAACCCTGATCTTCTGCATGAAAGACCATGGTGTTCACCGTGAGACCATTGGTGGTGTATCAGAGTGTCCTGCCAGTGATTCCTTTCAATGTGTTTGAAAGAAGCCAGATTGCCAATGACGATCGTTGACACAAAACTACATTATTTTACAATAGAGCGATATTAAATAAGATGTTTATGCTAATAAGACATTATTATACTAATACATCAAAATACATACATATTAGTATTGCAATCACTGAACTACTGTGATTAAATATTATTAAACTATGGTGCAGTCCCAAGTTGAGTAAATACAGCAGGGGGCAGTATTGGACCAATACAAGGCTCCATTGACATGCATTATATGAACTGTGACCAAGCCCAAATGTGTTTTCTAATTAATATCAGTCAAACACCTGCCAAGTCAGCAGGTGTTTGTAATTAGGGTAATCTTGTGACAATATAACAATCTGAAAATATGTAGTTTTAATGAAATTGTTTCTTCATAGCTGGGACTGAACCCTGATCTCCCGCATAAAAGCCCATAGTGTTCACCATGAGACCATTGGAGCTGTGGCAGAGGGCAATGCCAGGGGTTGGTTTGTATGTGTGCATAAAGAGGCAACTTTGCCAGTGCTATCGTTGACACTAAACTGCAATATATTACAGCAATAGAGCACTATTAGGATAATATTAAAGTAAAACATCAAAATACAATCATAGTATTGTAATCACTGAATTACTGAGTTTAAATATTATTAAACTATGGTGCAGTACCAAGTTGAATAGATACAGCAGGGGGCAATATTGGACCAATCAAGGCTCCATTGACTCTCATTATGATTTTTGGATTAAAGTTTAAACATCAATATTTCAAAAACTACAAGTTGTACAGGCACCAAAAGGCATAGCCATCATTTGGCAGAGGACACTAACAGATACAGACTGTAGGTTTACTTGTGGTCCCTAGAGCTTCTAAAAGTAGAATGGGAGGCAGAGCTTTTAGTTATCAAGCTCCTCTCTTGTGGAACCAACTTCCAGTTTCTGTCCATGAGGCTGACACTCTGTCTACTTTTAAGATTAGACTGAAGACTTTCCTTTTTGATAAATCATATAGTTAGACTTAGGTTTCCTGAATTATTCTTCATTTCTGCTGCTATAGACTTAGACTGCTGGAGCACAAACTGAGCAATTTCCCTCACTCTGCTGTTGTCTTTAGTCTTTCTTCTCTACATGTTTATTGTAATTATTTCTATCAATAACATGTTTTTTCTTGTCTCTTCCAAAAGAAGGTGCACCTGGATCAGTCCTGGACCAGTTCTCCTGTGTTTACTGTGTCTCTTTCCTGTTCCACAACCCAGCCGGTCGAGGCAGATGGCCGCCTGTCCTGAGCCTGGTTCTGCTGGAGCTTTCTTCCTGATTAGCAGGGAGTTTTTCCTCCCCACCATTTGCTCAGGATGGGAGACTGTGATGAAGTGATTCAACGCAGCCTGCTGGCTTCTTCTTTAGATTGTTCTTTTTTATGTACAGTGCCCTGAGACAACGTATGTTGTGACTTGGCGCTATATAAATAAACGGAATTGAATACAAATTACAATGGCAGCTCTAGGACAAAGTATGCAGGAGGAGAAGCGTGCCGAGGTGGAAGATGATGGAATAATAATAAGATGAATGAATAATAAAGAGAAACAGGAATACAACAAGATAGAATTCAACGCCAACCATTGCTGATGTTCCCCATAGCCATTCAATAGTGACCAACTGTTAAAGGAGACATATCATGC